TTCCAGGGTCATTGTTTTTGTCATTTTTCAAAGTTAGGACAAAGTTAGCCAGCTTCCAGTCCACTAGGACTGCTCTTCTCTCTTAAGGTCAAATCTACCTTATTCAGAACAAAAGTAGAATCTATTGGCTTTGCATTACAAAGAGAAATAAACTGTAGTATATATGATTTTTTTTTCTCTTCAGTAATCATTCACAGGGTATTCTGAGTTGGAAGGGGACCACAAGGATCATCTTAGCATTATTAGCACCATGCTCTGAGTTAATCTGTTCTCTCATTATTCTCTTGGGTTTTTTGGAAGTTATGGTAGCACAGAATGCAAAACATAATTGTCCTATACCTACACATGTATCACTCCACATCTCTGTTGGCTAGCTTTTAAGCCTACTAGCATTAGGTCTGTTGTTCCCATTGTAAGAACTTTCCTAACAGAATTTTCCTTCCATTACTTTTGATTTTAAAACTACAATTCACACTCTCTTTTTCCATTTCCTTTGTTAAACAGCTAGTGTTAGATGCAGGTTAAAATAAAGTATCTCTCAGCGTACTGCAACAGTTTCTCCTGAAAGATTTGAAGTGAGATATATTTATAGGTAAGTAAATTCTCTGGCCCATGTGGACCTGGACGTATATACATATCTCTAAAAGAAATATTCCCACAGCAGCACTATCTATGATATGTTTTCTTATGATTATTTTGGCCATACCTCTTCACCAATGCAGTATGTTAAATTCTATGGATGTCCAAAGTCACTTAGTCATTGCAAAGATACAGGTGCTCATATATCTGGGGCACAGATATCAGGCTGTTTTATCATCTACCTATGTTGCAGAATACATTTCAAAAGTTTTGATCTCTCTTATACAGGACATATCCTGCTGCAAGGGAAAAAAGCACAAACTGGAAAAAAAACAAAACAAGAACCCAAGCTAAAAATGTAGCCTGTTAATGAAATTAAGATGTTGAAATTTTTAAAGTTATTTTTCCCTATGTGAAAGTATTCAAGAAATTTCCTTAGGAAAAAACACAAAAATCTAAGAAAACCTTGGTACAAAGTTCTGTCCTCCATTGGCTGAATTTGTAATTAAATTTGCAATTGTGTTCAGTCTGAAACCAGGTGCTGTAGGGCCCCCTTTCCCTACCCAGCTCGTTCTCCCCAAGCCCAAGCCAGGCTATGTCCTTGTGCTCGTGCTGTCCCTCCCCTGGCTGTCCTGAGGATGTCCAGGGTGGTTAGGATTTGTCAGGTCACACCTCAGCCTGTCAGGACTCGGCGGCGCGTCCTTTGCCTGCTGCAGCCCATTGCTTCATTTCATCTGCACAGAGCTTGGAAACAACCTGGCTTCCTTACATGCCAATAACAATGGCCAGAAACAGCTGGCTATTTTCTTCCTGCTCACCTGCCACATCCCCATAGCTTTGGCTAAACTATTCAGTGCTGTTATTAACCCCAGTCTGGGCCACGGTTACACACATGCTTGTGCACACATGTGTGCAGGTACATGTGGGCACAGGGCCCATCAAAAGCTTCTGGTTCTGGGCTGAGAGTGGTGGCATCTAGGCTACATCCCCAGCCCTTGCCTCTCCCACCTCTCTCCTTTCCCCCGACTCTCCCCACACTGCTGGCTAAAACTCCTCCTCACTCAGCTCCACGCTGCTTTCAGCCTCTCTCACTGCTTTCCTAGTGTTTCCCTAATTTTGTTAAAGTGAAAGTTTTACTCGTTCTCTATCTTCAACTCCCTTGGTCTGACAACCTATTTTCTTCATGGCACTTCTTTCTTTCAACCTGATCCCCAGTGACTCCCTCCACCAGCCTGCCCCTCCTCCCTATCATGATCTGGTCTCCCCTTCTACCTCTCCTTCTCTCGTTTTCTGCCCCTCTTTTCTTCTGCCCAGTCTGAATCAACAGAGCTGGGACATCCATTGAAAAGGTGAGGTCTCCCTCCAGGCTGTCCTACAACCTCAGCTGCAACCACAGCAAACACACTCCTGCTGTCCTCTTTGCCTCCTGCAGGCTCCCATCCTCATCTTGGCTCCTGGAGAAAGGAGACCTCAGGCACAGAAACTTGGTAGCTTTGGCCAGAGTCTTCTTCTGGGCCTGGAGAAAAAAGGTATCCTAAACATGATATTTCACATAGTATGCGCTGAAAATTGTTACTTGCTTTATCTTGAAACTGGTTAAATTAAGGGTTGTGGTATCAAGCCAAACAACTAACTTATTGGTAATAAGAGAGTGGGAGCAGAACCAGGACTGCAGTGGGTGCTGAAGTAATTTCTAAATAGAGGCAATAATCTAACGTTAATGCAATATTGTATCGCTTATTTTTCTTTGGTGTTTTTGTAAGGCATCTTTGCCTCTTGTTACAAATAAAAGGCAAATCTGTTCTCAGGCAATTCTTCTCGCCTATTTTCAGCTTTAAGGGTATTTGCATCTCCTCCACCTTTTTCTTTTTTTCTTTTTTTCCTTTCTCCATCCCCTTTAAGTTGTAATTCAATCTATTCCAGCACATGATGTCTTTTCTTTTTTTGGCACTCCCTCCACCCACTCTCTCATTAGTTTGAGTTAATTAGGAATAGTAGGCAGCCCTCAATCTGTTATGTGTTAAAACAGAACAATCCAAAACAGAGGCGCAGACACAACTACGTGATTTCATTGTCCAAGGGAGACAGAAAAGCAGTGGGGATTCTCTTATCTAGACTAACATCTTCCCAATGGTTAACCTAACTGGCTTTAAAATGTTCCGCAAACGCAAATCTGGGATAACAATCTTTCCCTGTTTCCTTTTCTTTTTTTTTTTTTTTTTTTTTTTTCATTTCATCATTGGCAAGAATGAGTGAATTGGATTGACACAGAGGTGATAGAGGAAGAGAAATAGTCTACATGTCAAAATGACAATTTATATTACATGGTTAACAGAATGAGTGGTACGTGCAATGGCTGCGGGTATTTTCATCTGCTGTGTTTTACAATAAGGTCCCTTTTTTCCCTGAAGTGTATCATCAAGATCACTCCCAATTCAATGCAAATTGTTTGCTTGATGAATTTCTTTTTAACAGTAATATCATTTGATAAATGTGGAACTGAAACAAGAATCTAAATATTCACTTGTTTCTACTAGTGAATTGTGTGTATATAAAGGTCATGCCTGGTATTTTTTCTGTAGTCTTGATCACAGACCTTAGGGCAGAGTGTGCTGTGGAAGTGAACTATAACATATCTAAGAAATCAAGCCCTGATTCTGAAGGTAAGGCCTTACATTTTTTGTCCGACTACACATGGTGTTCTTTGGATGAAATGCATGCTTAGGAAAGACAAGTATAGCCGTGCAACTAATACAAAAATGCATGCCTGCATTAAATATAAATGTGAGTGCTTTTGAGCATTTATGAGGCTGTTTGTATATATATGTAAATGCATAAATATGTAAAGTTTGAATCTTCAAAGATTGTTGCGTAAGATTCATTAACTATAGACAGCCACATTTATAAAAATTATTACATTAAATTGCTAATTCAGTATGTATGTGCCTGCATGTGTATGAAATTGTGTGTCAGTAATTTGTGTTGATAATTTATCCATTAATTAGCAATGTTAATGTAATAAAAGTTTAAAAGTTAAACAACTTTCAATGGTCTTTTATGAAATCTGATATCTGGGATATAGAATGAAAAATCTATTCGAAAAAAGGAAACAGAGACACTGAAAATATTGCCATCAAAATGTCATTATATGTGCTAAGAAAAATAATTTCCTTTCTGCCAGAAACATCATCTTCTTGACAGAGAAGACATCAGATTAATTAGACACAAAAAGAATGCCTAATGAATGACAAAGTATAAGCTTGATTATTAGAACATACCAGAGTGCTACAGCACTGGAGAAGATAATATCCCCTCAAAAATTAGTGATTTTACTGGCGTGTAGGGGGGCAAGAAGTTTCTTGTTGGACATAGACAACATGAGACTAAATATCTCCATGAGGAGATGCTGCAAGAAGTTTAGCAATCTTTTGCAATTTATTTTTGATACAGTGTTTGTTTATTTATTTCCCAGCTATTGGTACAGTTATGTGTAAACTGCATTAAATTGAGCAAGTAGACAGATTTGGCCCTCATATTCTTCCTACTTTTGATCTTTTTTTTCTATAGTAATGCAAAAATGTAGAGATTGTTGTGTGCCTATTTTACACCAAAGATGAAAAATTCTTCTTTTTTCACTCATGGAATTAAAAGAATTTACATTAACACGCCTATTTCAGTATCGGCAATTAAGTTTAATTTATTTAATAAAGTTTAAGTTATACAATCTTTCTCTTTCTATATGTGTTTTAGATTACAATATAAGAATGGCATAAGAAAAAGGTATAAACGTACTTTTAAAAAATTCAAGACTTTAAAACTCTCTACACTGAATGACATTAGTAATTTTATGCACTGATCACTTTTATTAAGTTCTGACATCTGAGACTGTATCACTTTCAGTGCTACATGGAAGTCATAAAACTTGTATGAACTCATATAAATCCATGTATTAGTCAGAAAGAAAAATATTAGGGGGAAGTAGTAAAACCACATTAATCTAAAATCTATCAAAAAGGTGTCCAGAATGTAAAAACTTTTAGAAAGGGAGGAAATAATTTCCCCCTTATCACACATATAATAATCATACTGGTGATTCTTCAAGAGTAGAGATATTTATCCCTTCACATGCTCAGATAAGAACTATGGTTTCTAACATATCCTGTAGCTTTCCTTATGTTATACCAATAGGCCAGCCCCTGAAACTGCTCCATGCACGATTTTCTGAGCAATGCACACAAAACCCCTGTCTTCCATTAACATGTAGACTGGTATGGCAAGAGTAGGAGAAAGATAGTGCTGTGGTGTAAGAAATTTGCATTTTAGTATGTAATAAACCAGGGCAGGCATTTGTCACAAGCTGAGAGGAATGACTAGAAGGTTGTTACGTAACAAAGCAGGATCTACTGTCCTGAGTGTTCTCAGCTCACTGCTATCTCTGCAGTTCAGTTCAGACACACGCAAGCTCAGCTTGAGCCACGCTCAGTATGACACTTTGTGAAAGCTTCAGAATGCAAGGTAAGAGAATAAACAGAACCAAGAGAAAAGTAGCTTCTAAAATGCACAGGTAATGCAAAGGTGTCTGTCTCCTGTAGGTATTAGTGGCACAGCACTTCAAACATGTGGTTGTCTAACCAGAGATATTAAAAAACATAAAGCAAATTGTTTTATAAATTCTCCTTTAAGAGATACTGCTCCTAGTGGATCAACATAGGACCCATTAGGATCCAAAGTTGATACTAAAAACTGCTCCAATTCAGTTTGGCATGATGACAGTTTATCTTGTGCTGCTAATGCTTATGCTTGCATTGCAGTTGATTTACACTTACTCTTGAGACAAAAAGAGGTAGATTCGCAGAGATAAATATACTGGTAGCATGAAACAGTAATACTTTGACACTTGAAATAATGATCTTTTTGGATTTGATACAGTGCTTAAATTCACCTCAGAATTAAAACTCAGACTAAGTATTATTTAAAAATTCATCACTTATATGTTTAGACAAATTGCTAAAAAGTACATTAAAGCAGATATTGCTAGCTAAACAAAAAAATACAGAAAAACAGAAAAGAGGTAATGAAAGAATAGAGGCAACAAAGCTTATAATGTTGAGCTGTAACAATAGAATTTGTGAACTCAAAGAATTTGCTTAAGCTATACAGAAAAATACTAATTATGATCAACCAAAATCATCTTGTGCACAGGCACATACAGAATATTAATTGGATTGCTAATTTCCTAAAAAGCTAGAGGATTGGTGGGAAATTTGGATGATTAATAAGCCTTAATCTGTTAATAAGAATGCTGGAAAAAGATTTAGTGATAGTGAGTACAATTTGCTGTATGCAGAATTTTTTTCTTCTTCATATAGCAGCATAAAAATCTATACAAAAAACTTTTTCATCTTTTATCCAGAGATATTTGAATGCTTTCTATTTCAATCATGGGGATGGATAACTTAAATTGTTATAATAAATTGGGCGTATTCTTACTGTAATGGAGTTAACTACCTAAATATCCTTTCAGTTTCTGAACCCTGACCATCCCTTTTTACAAACCCTTCCTTTTTAAACCACTGCATGGCATTACACAGACTGTAGGCTTCTGCAAATGCCCACCATCAAGCAAAGTATTTTCTATCATTAATATTCATTCTGAATTTTCCATATTGACTGTACAGCTACAGGCACAAATCTATTTGAAAAAATGTCTTTACATAATACTCAGGTTAGTCTCTTTTCTTGGTTGCTAGCATACTTCTTAAGCCTTAATTTGAGTCAATGAATTTAAATGATCTTCTTTTAAACATATATTAGCATTAATATTTATTCCAAAATTGAAAAAAATTTAGTAGTAAATAAAATTTAAAACCCTGAGAAGTAATATCTTTTTAGATCAAAGGAAGCAGCTTTTCTAATTTTGTGGTCAGGTCTGGGGAAAATAAAAGAGAACTCTGAGAACTTTTATTTGGGGGCATTTGTGAAGTTATGACATTTCTGTGTGTTTGAAATTTTAAAACCTTTTCTAAAACAATTTGCCATGACTAAGTTCAAGAAATATTCTTTGTGGTAATTGTATATATTAACAATGAAATGTTGTACAAAAGTACATAGCCTTCAGAATATGTTTTCAGTGTGTATTATTTAACTAGTTCTAAACTCCAGTTCATGATGGAATTAGGGATTATATAGGAAAAAAAGGCGATGGATTTGAAATTACTTTTTGAAACTTTAGCCTTATTCACTCTTACAGTTGTCACAGAGATAGGATGGCAAGATAGCTATTTCTCTACCCTCATAAAAAACAGTTAGTGTATTTGATGTTGCTTTGTTTTTACACTTTTAACTGTAGCTACACTAAAACAAGACTTTATAATCCAACAGAATAAAATATTCATATTATTTTGCTTTACATGTTATCACAAGGAGAAGAAATGGGAAAATAAATCATAAGAAAAATATTGCCAAAGCAACTTTTCCACTTTGTCTTTCAGAATTTCTTAAACTGATCATCCTTCCACCCAAAAACTGCTGCCTATGATTAAATAGTTGTGATTGTATTAAGTGAACTGAAAATGAAATTCCTTGAGAACTGAACATTTCTGAACTGTGAGTACTAAAAGTATTGATAAATTTACTTCCATCCTGTGACAATTAAACAGTATTCGTTGAATTCAGATGAACTTATATGACTTATATAGCTAGATGAACATGTTCTCATTTTAAATTTTTTCTTCCTTTCATTGCAAATTACAGCACTTGAATCTCATTTCTTGTCAGTGAACAGCTACTCTGTAGTGTTTCTCAGAACACTCCTGAGTAGTGTTTTGAGAAAAACTACTGAGTAATTTTCTTCTCCTTTCACAGAGACATGACAGTATTATTTTCTATCATTAGGTGTCCTTGACAATGAAGGACGCTTTGAAAAAGAATGTGTAGGGAAGTTTAAAAGTTTAGAGAGTTTAAAAGAACTTACAATGTTGGAAAATATTAGACAGATATTACACAGGTACTATATAATTGTTGCAAATATATTTTTATTTTTTTTTAAATTTGATTTCTCACAAGAAATCAGCTATGCAGATTTTGCTAATAGAGTTGCTACTGATGAAAGAATAAAAAAGGAAAGTTTATCTTGTGAAAAAAAGACAAGAAAGTGTAAGGATTCATAGACAGTATGCTCCAAACTGATACTGCAGTTTCATCAGTGCAACAGTTACCTGTGAGAGAACAAAATAGAACATGTTCTAGTGTACTGAGTGTGTCGCTGCCAGCCTTAATGCTTACACTTCTAGTGTACTCCAGGGATTTAAAACAAGACACAGGGAAAGATTTATCAAGGAATGATGAATAGAAAAGTGAGAAGTTTCAGAGTTAGAAAAGAGATTGAGTGCCCTTGTATGCCCCTAACTAATGTGATTAACTGACTAGAGTACAGTGGAAGAAAAGTTGCTCTGCCCAGAAAAAAAAACCTGGTTTCTGCCGGAAAAGTGGAACTGCAGTTCAAGCTCCAGCTTCCAGCACTTGACAACTTGGACAATTGCTTTGGGAACATTTCTCTTCAAAAGGCATATCACAGAGGTATGGATGTTTATCGACTGCAAGGAAACATAAACTGTGTGCTTGTGCTCTCATTGAGGTGGCAAAAGGAGGATTTAGCCATTGTTAAGTTAGAATGGGAAAATATTCAGAGTGCACACTATAAAACAAAAGTTTCCTATTGAGATCTTTCCTAAAAAGTTTGCTTGCATTCACTCAGGTTGTTTAAGTAGATTGATATATACAATTCTCTCTCATTCTAATTCATATCTTAGCCCACAGTAGCTAAATCTTCATCTCATCAAAACTGTATTTTGATTAGTGTTCTAATCTTTAGCTTGTATGTAGTTTGGCAGTATCTCTTTCCTCTGATGCTTCTCCCTTCAATCTCTCCATTTTTTACCATCAGTTTAAGTAAAAGTTTTTCTACTTTCCTATGCCAAATTAATAGAAAATTTCAGGGGATGTTGTGAGGAAACACCAGAATTTTACTTAGTTTTGAGATGAAATTTTAAATCTTTCTTGACAATGATAAAAGGAGTAATAAAGGAGTAGTTTTTTTTAAACCTTATCCTGAGCAAAATAAATGTGAACTTATGTTGGTTATGAAAGATTAAATACTGTCTTCCACTACCTGCAAACATTCTGTCAGTGGAGTCTGGCAAGCTAAGCCAAGAAAGACAAGCAATAGTTTAATTTTTCAAGCCAGATTTATAACAGCACACTTGTTTTCATTGAAAATTTGTAAGGAATAAATAGTAACTCTGCTTTTGATCACTGTCTCCTGCCTTTGATTTATTTTTGCCTCTGCTGTCTCCAGCATGATGTGCTGATCATCCAAGTAAATTTCAGTTTACTGCTATCATTATCACCCCAGAATACAAATATCATCCAGGAAATGTACAACTCAAAGAAATTTTTCAGTACTTATTATAACTGCTGTGCATAAAACCTAGCATTCTCACTACCAAAGCAATATCCCAGAGAATATGTATCTGGCAGGCTTCAGTAAGATGTTGAAAAATGCAGTAAAATGTTTTCAACATAATTGTTTATCTCAGGAATAAGAAACCTTGATGTTCTCCGTTCTCATAGTTTTTTTATACAAATTAAAAGAAACAAGGAGGTTTTAAATTATTCTACTACCTTTTAATTTGTACAGTTAAATTAAAATAGATACAATTTTAACTTAATTTTAAATATATATATAAAACTCCTCAGAGATTTGCTTTAAAGGTCTGCAATAGAGTCTTTTCTGGGACACTTTGGCAGATGATGTTACACAAAAATCATATAAAATAAATCTTACTTACATTCTTAATTGTGTAAATTACCAGGGCTGCATCCACAGATGACCAGAGGATTAGCCTAATATTACAAAATATCAAACAGAAAAAGCACTCTGAAACTGTAGGATTTCATGTGTTTATGGAAAGAGAAGCAGAACATATGCCACATTTCTTGGACCAAAAATCCCAACAAATGTTACTCTTGTTTTCTTATAAATTCTGTAACAATCAGAAAATATTTGCAGGCATTTTTTTCCTCAGAATTACAATAAGTTAGTTAAGTGCTGTAACATTTTATTGGACTACAATGTTCCCATTTCAAACATTCTTGCGCCTTTGAGAAACAATTTTCCTTCTTTTTCAAATTTTCTTCTTAGAAGAGAAGTGAAATATATTTATTGAATCAGTCCCAAAAAGTGAATCTTGTTCTATCTATCTGCGATAAAAAATAAAGGCATACACAGGAAGCACATCCACAAAGCATACTTTTAATTTTAGATGAAAAGTGAATAATGTCACACACCACATACTGGGGTATGGTTTCCACTGTAAGCTTGGTTCCTTCCAAGGTTTACTGTTGCTGGGTTTGCATTAGTAATTCTGTTGGCTAGCACATTTCTGTAGCAAAGCTAAAAGATTAGTTCCCAAAGTACATGTTATTAACCTGATTTCCTGTACCACATTGTTATCGTCTATTTTCCATTCTGAAATGCATTCAAGGCATCTTGCAGAAACTACTAATACACTTCAAACTTCTCACAACTCATATAAATAATAAATGCAATTATTTAATTAGATGATTACTAGGACTTAAAACTGCTTCTTCAGAGGATTTGCCAGACAATGGAAAGCTCTTGACAGGATTTAGTGGATGCTGGACTGATCACATCATCTTTTTAAAAATCCTAGTCAACTACTTTAGCTGTTAATTCTCATTCTCAGTGATTGCTAATGAGTAGCACACACAGTAATACAATATTTCTACCAACAGACTTATGGGAATTGGATTAAAACCATTAGGATATTAGGAAGTTCTTCACAGACAAGGCAGTTGGGCATTGGGATGGGCTGCTCAGGGAGGTGCTGGAGTCACCATCCCTGGAGGTGTTTAAGAAAAGCCTGGATGTGGAACTCAGTGCCATGGTCTAGACAACATGGTGTTGGATCACAGGTTGGGCTTGATTACCTCAAAGGTCTTTTCCAAAATAGCTGATTCTGTGATTCTGTAATCATGACAAAATAGAGAAAAATGGGAACAATTAACAAGGTAATGTAGCCGACTCTCTATGTCTAAACTTGAAATTAAGACTTTAGCTACAGAACAGGGGATAATGTAAATCTTACTAATTACCTTAAAAGGAGAGTAGACTCTATCAGCTGGAAAACAGAGACTCTTCTTAATGTACTGCAAAATTTTTATTCTGTATTGGAATTTGAATTCTGAGTCCTAGTCCCCCAGACCAGATATGCACAGACTTACAACCTGGCTAAAGTTCACTTTTCATTAGAAACAACAATCTCTGACAGCATCCACAGAAACCTCCCTGAGATTTGCAAACAAAGGCAGGTCTTGCTTCATACTATTTGTTTGTTTGTTTAAGTTAAACTAAAAAGTTGAGAAACAGAGAAGCTGGAAATCCATCAAAGTCCCCCATTGACAATACAATGCAAGGAAAGTACTTGAGTGTCCCAGTCAATTTGGAAATGCTGTGTGATTAGTCTCTGTGCCAAGTTTTTTATTCCTAATAAGTCAGTTTCCTACTGCAAATATGGCTCTTTCTCAGCAGTTCTTATTACATTTCAAGTGCTATAAAGAGCAATTTTGACCTCAAGATTATTTATCTGATGCATGGTTTCTAGCCAGTTCTATAGGAACTTCCTGGAAATAATAGTATAAATAATAAATAGCAAGTTAGAGTGGGAAATGGAGGGGACAGGATGACAAAAATGAATAATCATGGACTTTGTATTAGTTTTACATCAGTTCAGTTGCAACTTAAGTAGACATTCTATTAATTGCATGTTCCAGATTCTGTTCTAGCATTTAACTACCATGATGTATGGAAAAGGTACTCATCTTGAGTAAAAGGATTTGGATTTTTGTTCTGCAGGGAACTCAGGACCTTGTACATTCTATCTCAAAACACACAAAAATAAGCTTTTCAAAACTACTGTTTTGATTATGTTGATAATTAATATAAGATAGTAACATGAATGTAATAAAAACTGATGTAAAGAAATTAAGGAATATTAATTCAGAGAATTGTTTCTAAATATTGAAGAAAGATAGGTGTTAAATATACCTCTGCCTATTTTTAATTTTAGCTGTACAGAGACTTCTTTTAGACCCTCTTTAAAACTAAAATTAGGAAGAAAGAAGGTTTTTTTCACTTGTGAGTCTTTCATAGCTGAAGAACACAATTACTACACAGAGGCTTAAAAAGCACACATAGCAATTATGTAAAATCAGTTGAGGCTGTCTAAAACTTGGCTTTGAAACAAAGGTTTATGGAGGAAATGCTGAAAATTACTTGGCAGTAATTGTTGCTAATGTAGGTTAATAACTAGTGTTGGGTCTGATTCTGATCAAACCCTGACAAGTTTTTTCGATTGATTTGCATCAAATTATTCATGAAGTTCACTGATAAGAGTTTTTATTGTGACCTGTGTCATAAAATCTTTCTCTTTATTTGTAATCAATTATTTGAGAAATCTTCAAACTATTGCATTACTTGTTACTTGCCCCCTCATTTGAACTATGTACCAAAATTTTTTTTAATGGTTTAATTTTTAACAGAAAATGCAGGAATAAATTTGTTCTGATTCACAAAAAGATACTCTAAATAGAATTCATTTTATGCTGCCAAGACTGGATTTATAATAAAACTGTACTCATTTATTAACTAATGCATTGTTCTGGTAATATTATACTATTAATAGTTCTCATTTTCTTAGACCAGATATTCTGTCCAGTTTTGCAAAAAAGATATAAATGTCGACTTCTGTCATAAAGTTAGAAAAGCAATTGACATTTGTTAATTAAAATTGCCCCATTGACATGAAAACTAATTTATCGTAATTGAATAACCCATTTTTTTGTCATATGATAACTTATTGACTCTTTCTATAACCTTAACAGCAAATATTTTATGTCAGAATTGAATAATAAGTAGGAATTAGGAGAGTATGGAAAATTCTATTGATATGAGTAAAATAGAGGAGCTTATACTCCATATTTAGGTCAAATGCAGAGACAGATCTTTACAAGCCAGTTATGTTTTTTTACAGATCTTATCCCAGTTTTGTGGGAATTTTCTTATTTCTCTGGAAATAGATACACTTTTGTTGCATCAGATTATACTGAATTCTTTTTGTTTCTTCTTGATTGCCTTCTGCACAGAAACTCTTGCATGTTTTATTTGTATGATTATTTAATGATAAAATGAAAAAAGGGAAAAAAATTTAAATCGCTTCAATTTAAGGATGCAAAATGTACTACATACTACCAAATATTCCTGCAACTTTTAAGAAATACTGTAATGATGAAATAGATAGTCTTCTAATTTATATTATGAAAAATATTACTTCCTGTAACAGAATGAGCTCCCTAGATAAATGTTTTATAAAATGGTGTAATAATTCCTGCACCACTACTCAGTCTCTCATTGACCCATAATATATCCAACTCCTTTTATTTTAGTTTGATGGTTTTATGATCACATTTTAGTCATTATTTTATGTGCAAATT